AATTTAAAAAGCTAAATAAACTTTGGAAAACAAGGTTTGATGACGTGGCAAATAATTAAATCAATTTCCATAAATCAAATAACTAAGCTCTTCCAAAATCAAAACAGTTCCCGGCCACAGATTTTATGCACGTTAACACTCCTGTTCCTCAGTCGCAGTGGGAAAGACTATAGCAGTGTGAGGCAAAGGGAGCGCAGCAGGGTTCACAAAGAGGCAGCCCTGTCATCAGAGGTGGGAACACATGATACAGCCAACCGATATTGATACTGCTGTCGGAGGATACATTATGCAGTGTAGCTTGACAATGGCTGCCAGTGTGAGCTCTCTTTGTTACTGAATTCTTCAACTAGACTTTACAATAAAAGATTTTTTGAACTGGTGCTCGGCCATGCAGGTAACACACAGTTTCACAGAGTACAATAAGTCGTAAACACAGCTATTCAAGCCTGTGGTCGCACAGATGGTTCCAGAGCTCTGTTTGAGAACTAAATATGAGGATTCCCTAAAACGTTTAGAGAAGGATGGCATAGACATGGCCAGGTGCTTCAAATGCAAGTGAAACATTAAAGAAAAGTAAAAAACAAAAGAAGCTTGTCACCCAATTTCAACTCAGCAAAGATACCTTAAAGGATAGTTTTTAAATGAATAAAAATTAACATTTAAGAACATCTTTAAGATTTCAGTCCTGGTTGATTTGGCGACACCAGTAGTTACTGATGCTAACAGCAAATGCAGTTTAATAATGTAAGTCACAGCAAAAGAACATTTTGTTGTTTTAATAAGGAAGTCAGGCAGTAATTGGCCCTTTTTCCATCATTCCGTGAGCAACCATGATCTGATCTTTAAGCTGCTCACGGTATGAGTGAAAGGAGTTGGTTACCTCGCTGAGAAGTTGGTGTGCAGCCTGTCGCCTGCAGCCCTTTATCTAACAGCTCACTGTGGCTGCTCCTTCATGTTCCATTACTCCAGGCAATTTTTCAAACTGATCCGCTGTCAAAAAATGTTTGAAAGATTGTTGTCTTGATTGTGCTACTTCATAATAAAAGTCGGCTCATGTGTTGCCTGTTAAATGCTTTTATATGTGGAGCTGCGGCAGTAGGAAATGTTCAGTTTGCATTAGCAGTAACTTAATACAGCACTTTCCTGGGATACCAACACCCAGTTTGTAATACTGCAAATATCTAAATGTTGTAATCAGTGTGCCATAGGCTCATCACCATTGGGTTACTTCATTCGGTGATAGAAAGTGACATAACAAGACATTTATTTTAATGAAAATCTTGTAGATTGTTACTTTAAGCTCCGTTCCGGCATAACAAATTTAACCCAAGAAACTTGTTGTCCCCCAAGTTTAATCAGACGTGCATTCTTGATACAGATACATGCGGCCCTGATAAAGCCTGGCCTAAAGGATTGCCGTTTCTCACAAAACAATCCTTTCAAATGGCTTCCCTCATGATGAAAATGAAACAGGATGCTGCGAAGTCAACATCTAGTGTACAACATCTACAGAAGGGGATTTGTTTTATTTTCACAGTCATCTCTTTATTAAGCTCCACAGCGCTGAGCCATTTTCCATTTAGAATCTCCCAACAAAGCCAATGGATATTTAGAAACCTAATACATTCATTTTAATAGGAGACACATTCAAATACCACTTAATTCTGCTTTAATGCCTCAAAATATTCATTACATTGAGAGCAATTATACTGTACCAGATACAAGAGGTGTAATGAACGATCGGAAATAACATTCTGCCGGCACACAGCCAAATCACACTCTATGTCACCCTCAAAAACAGACAGCTTTGGCTTATTTGGCATCAGCGCAACTCAGAGCAGAACTCAGTATTTGTCTGTCACTTCAGACTGTGAATCGTCCAGTACATAAGCCAATGTTTAAAATTCATGTGCTGTTGAACCTGTAAAGTTTTCTGCCTTGAGAGGGATCAGCACAAAGAAAACTGAGATGGCGTATCGCAAAGAAGACTTTTCAGAATTTTAACAAACATCTTGCACAAATGACACGTCTCTTTTGTTCTCAATCACTAATTCACTCTCCTATGAAGTCTGCTGCCACCCAACCTAGCAGGGTCGCCATGTTGGCCATCAAGGACTGCTCAGATTTTCCATCTGCCACTTTTTGCAGCATGTCAAATCAGCATATTGTCTTCTTTGACATACTCTCTGGTGTAAACATAGCAGTGAAGCTAAGAGAATCGTGCCAAAAAAGAAAACGACACAATCTACAGGATGAAAAGGCACTGCATGGCATTGTGTCAGAACTCAGACAGGGCTACCAGGTTTGATATTCTCTTAAAATCATAAAAAAGCTACATAAATCCATCTCACATTATATTCCATGAGCTAATGTGCCACTTCAGCCAAACAGCTAGCCAAAACGATCAGTGGTGGCTATTCCTTGTTGGCATCGTTTGTTTTTTCTTCAGCATGAAATGAAAAAATCCTTTATCTACAACAGAACAGGTACATTTAAGATGATTTATTGGCACTGAGCTGAGCTCACAGCACTAATTCTGTATCCAGCCATGCAGCTGAAACCACTCACCATGTGTTCTTGGCTTCACGCTCACTCGCTCACTGGCCATTTTGTGCACTGACGGAGGGTTTGGCTATGCAGAGACAGCAGTGCTGCTGCTGTCTGCAATATGTGACCACAACGCCTGCCAGGTTCTCCACTGAGTATATTTAATTTTTCATTATTTTATTCATCCCCTTGTTGTTCATCTGCTGTGCAATATCTAACAGCATTTAGTTCTTGCCAAGAATATCTATGTCCACTTGTTTTTCCACGGTGGAGGTCCGATCTATTCAACACCAGGTAATGTAATTATTTGTGGACACAGAATGTGGCAGTTAAAACCCACTCCTGAAAGTTTGGACTGGAGATAAATTTGTGGCTGCATTTCAGTCAATCATATGTGGCATCAAATTCCCACAGATAAGGGCCAGTAAAACAAACAGTACCAGCTCATACGCCATCAAAACATTCCAACAGTAATGAAAGCATGAATGGAAGAGTTTTTATATCAATCAATACGTCTGCCAATTTGCATAGAATTTGCCAAAGGCTTTTCTGAACAGAACATTGTAAGAGCCTTAAGTTAGGCATGCACATCTCCACAACTTGAATGGAAAGTAGCAAATACGCTTCAAAGGCATGAACTTGTGGAACAATGTCATCAGTCTAAGGGGGACTTGTTAGTATTCACAGACAGTTTTATAAAACACAATTAAGCTGAGTTTTTTTTTCATAGCTTCTTTTGATCCTCAAACATTCCTCAGGAATGTTTGGTCGGAATTCAGTATGGCAAATTTAATTGTCCAATGAGCTGATTAATTAAATGTTAATTCTAGCTGGTAATGCTCAGCGATATGCGACACAGAAGTGTTGAATATGCAGGTGATAAAAGTTATCTACATGTTTGATTAAAGTTCTACTTCTGCTGCTTTATGACCTCCTATCTTGTGATTAGCCATAATTAAGGGAACAACTTCAAATATGCAGTTTCCTTAATGTATCCCTCCTTTTGTCCCATACTGTGTTCAACAATTTAACATGCAATTCAATAACTTACAAAATCACACAGATACATTTTCAGTTTGAGAGACAGTTTCTGTCTCAAGGCAGCTTGGCTACAGCTGTGTTTTGAGCGCCTCTATCAAAATGTATGAATCCAGGACGACTTTTGGAAAATTGAATGTGTTCTCTATCAAATGCTTATTATCATAAAGCAATGGAAGCTTGCAGGAATCTCAGTAAGAGGCAATCATATCCTTGGACATCCTAGAAAACGTTTAATATTCCTCAGAGGGGCTCACTGCTCTCTCCCCACATGATGGAAATCTATTGTGACCCTAACATTTCTGAGGTGAGTGAAATGGTAATGTCAGGAGTGTATTTAGCAAATCACTCTACTACAGCCTCCAAATGATGACAGCCATGATATGTGAAGCTGCCAGTTAGTGCGTGTGCAGACCTCATCGCGACAGGAGCCTCTTGGGGTTTCTCAGCAGCGCTGTGTCCTCTGACTATTAAATTAGGAGCGTTTTACCACCTTCACTGGGCAAGACAAACACTGCTGTGTTAACGCTGTCCAAACTCGGGGACGCACAATTTAATCAACAGCCCATATCATAATTAAATTCACAGCGAGGTGGTTCGTACAGAAAAACACACACACAGCACAAGTTTTATCATCGACCTGGAAATACATTAAACATTCTGTTGTCATTATCATTATTAAATTAAATCTCCTGGCTGAAGTAACATCAATAGAGGCATAGCCAGGGAAGCATTAGTCTGAATAGTGGTGGGACAAGCGCTGGGCTTTCCCCGTGGCTTTAGACTGTGCCAATAATTGCTATAATGTTTCTCTTCGCTTTACTCTCATCTGAGCCTGCGTAGCTGTCCGCGTGCTTCGTTTCGGTCAGTGAAATTATATCTGCTTCAAAAGTAGGCTAAAGCAAGTCAAGGTCGATTTGAACTGTCCATTAAAATCAGGCGCTAGGGGAAGCACTACAAGCTAAAGAAACAATAGAAAATAAACCCAGAAAATGTATACAATTATTTATAGTGATATTAAAGTGAAAAATATTTATTAAAGCCAACAATAACCTCCTCCAAAGGGCGAATGTGTTATGGGTTGGCAAGGTCGTATTATATCCCGGGCACAGGCATCTTCATGGTAGCTCGGGTTTGTGATGACCAGCTCGCTGGCAGAGATGGACAACCGTAAAAAATGACAAAAATTAAAATGTTTTCAACCCTTACAACAATACAGCGCCGTGACAACAGAATATGTCACTCTGGAATTTAATTTATAAAACTATATTTGTCTCAACCTACAACACTTGACTGTTGTCACTTTAAAAAATATTGTGACTAGAGTTTTTGTTTTGTTTATAAGGCAGCCGAGTTCAACCACGCGCGCGCCGCTCCGTCGCCACTCAGGCACACCTTTTCTGACTTTGACTCACCTGCATTCCTGAGCTTCTTGTTCCGATACACAGAGAAAATGACCAGGAGGTTGCCCAGGATGTCGACGACGATAGTAAAGATGAGGAAGCACCCCAAAGTTGTGGTAACCCACGGCGGGCGGCTCAGGACGGTGTCACTGGGGTCTGGCGAGGAGCTGTTCAGGTGAGACTCATTTATAACCATTGTATACAGTCGCGGAACTTTCTCAACTGGCCCAAATGCAACGTGCCGTGACTCCCCGTGCGTCCTAAAGCCTGGATTTTGGAGACACTGGTGGTGGGATACTGTAGCCTCTCGCGGCTTTCATCTTCATCCTCTCCACGCGCGCTTCTCTTCCTTCTTCTCCCCCGCGTGGACTTTCCCCAGCTGCCGCGGATCTCTCTGGTCGCCTCAGTGACACTTCTGCGCCCGTGTGCCATTCACTTTGTCGGTACGCATGTGTGACATGAAGCCGCAACTTCAAACCTTCCCAGCATGTGACCAAACAGTCCGGAGAGGAGCGGCTTTATTTAGAGGGAGAAATGCTGTCGCTTGGTGGCCGAGAGCTGGAACAGCAAATGAAGGGCTCGGAAGGCGCCCTACTTCTTTTCATTTACCGGATGCGTGCTCATTCATGGCTTTGCGGTGGCCCGCGTTGCTTTATTTCAGCAGCCCATTCATTATCTTTTTTTGAAGAATCATTCATGTTTTCTCTGTTCCAGGGGAAAAGCCCACATACGGTTCTTACGGAAGCTATAAGACAATGCGGAACTGTCTTATTTTAACTTATATGAATGCTCAAGCATGCTGGTGATTGAACACTGGGTTTATTGTGTATAAGACGATATTATTGGATTCATTGAAACCACTGACCCTCCCACCATGCATAGCTTATATATAGGCCTAATCACTGAAATACTAACGAAAGAGTTTTGTTTGAACATCCCTGAGAATGGATGGAGTTTCTATACAAAGAATGGCTATTGTGCTATTGTTAGTTAATGATGTTCACCATAAATGGGTCACCCCCCCCCCCCCCCCACACACACACACACACACACACAGGCACATTTCTGCAGCCTATTGTGCTGTCTCATATAACAGTATTGATGTGAATAATAATAATAACACTAATAATAATGAATTAATGACAGTTCGACATAATAAAACCACAAGACAACTACTGATAGAGCACTAGTTCGACTAGTCCCTGATGAGTTATAGATTTGCCTACTCAGTCCTTTACACCGATTTACAATAATTAGTATATTTCACCTGCACTATAACACTGACTGCCTATAGCCTTATTGCTTTTGACAATGCCAAATCAGTTAGTCATACTCTCTGTAGTCATGACATGAAAGTAAACACATAGTAAAGTCTTGTCATTCAAGACACTCATTTTAATAATCGTGGTCATATGTGTTGCCTGTAACCTTGTCTGTCACTGAAAAAGAAAAACACTTGCTAGGGATGGGAATCGAGGCATTTTTAACTGATCGGTATTGGCTTTGGATGCAGGCTTGGATACAGGCTTTTTTCCATAATGCATTGCAGAGCTATTCAATACTCAAGCATTTATTGGATTAATTTTAATAACTTAAATGTACTTGAAGAGTGCACTGTCAAACTGTATTATCTAAATCTAAATAAATAAATAATCAATATTAAATTACTTCACTTTTTTATCGGGACATCCCTGCTTACATTATTCAACCAGATGTCTATAGCTACTAATGCTAAGCTAAACTTTTTGAGGCCATACACATAATTTCTGAAAAGCTCTGACCTCTTTGGCTTTACCAAACCAAATCTATGAATAAATAAATGGCCTAAAACCGCACATTAGTAAATGAATCTTGCTACCATCACGATTGATAGTTCATTTTGCAGACACAATGAGGATACTCCTCCAAGAAGTTATCAGTAGTGCGACTTTGGAATAAAAAAAACTTGCAGCTCTCTTTCTATCATTTGTGCATGTTTCACTGATTTGCAAGTGCAGTATAATTCAGTGATCACGCCCCGACTTGTTATCCCTTTCCGTCCCTCACAACATTATTTTGTTACCACTCAGCAACATAATCCTGAGCTCCTTTTTGAACTTGATTCCCAATCTCATTGCCTTTTCTCACGTCATTTTAAGAAAGAAACAGCTTATTATAAATTAATAGCGAATTAGATTCAAGCTAAGTGTGATCATTATCGCTCCCCGTTCGTCTCTCTATATTACATTTGAGGTCAGCATATTCTTCGCCCTGTTGGCAGACATTGATCTGGACACGCTGTAATCTTTAGGACTGATCTGGATAATTAAAGCTGTTAGTGAGGCAGCACAGTAAACATTGTAAGAAACACTAAGTGGGGACTGGGAGAGAGAAGACGAGAGGAAAGGGAAGACTGAATCTTTGTGTCACTTGATGTTCAGTCTTCTCTGTTTTGCTTGATGATAGAAGAAACTTCAGCAGCAGCTGCACTGGTAGAACATATGGAACATTTGGAGCTACTGACTCAACATCTACACATTGTGGGGAAAGTATCAATTTCCTTTAACTGGAAATGAGTATTATAAGGCTAACTAACAGCGAAATGTTAATTGCTGAAATTAAACTCTGTTTCACCCATTGCAAGTCAGGAACTGTGGGCATCTTTACCCATGGGCCCTTGGGTAATGCATCCTGTTATTTCAAATGAACATGTTACAATCTTATTAAGCAAACAGCTTACAGTAACTGCACATTCAGCCTCACACAATTATTTTATCTTCAGACTTTTTGTGTAAGGAAAATCTGAACTAAAACAATACTGCTGTTATTGTGCATCGTGTTTTCCAATCTTTCAAAAGAGGATGAGACCTTTTTGTGGAAACAGCATCTAAGCTTCAGGCCTCTGGGTGAGCAGTTCCCATGGCAGCAGTTGACTGATATTTTAGGGCCTGTAGCCTTTGCATTGAATCCCTTTCGGCACTCACAACGTAGGTTATGCACTACTGACTGGAGCACAGCATTTTTCCCCCTTCCTTTTTCAACAAGCCCACATAGTATTCATCACGTACTGTTAGCGATCTGAAACGTCTGCTCTTTTACAGCATTTGGGAGGACCATGCTGTTCATGCTCGGAAAATAAAAGCTAGCAAACTGGATTAACTAGCTTTCACTCAGTTTGCCTCTGGCTTCATTTACCTCAGTATTAACATCTACACAACAATCTCTCTCGTATCGTTGCGGTGAGGTGTGTACCATGTGTAGATTTTGTGCATGTTTGATTAGCCGTTGTGAATAATCTGTATCACTTTATCCTCTTCTGAGCTTGGCGATTCTCATAGATATCCCACCTCTGAGTACCAGGGAAACCCAGGAGCTGCTGCCTTAGTAAATCAGGGGTTGAATACACACAGATTGAGGCCGCAATCTCAACTCCATTTTCTTCAGACCCTTACTGTTGCTTTTGTCCCAAATTACAGAAAAGAGGGGGTCTAGCTAGAGTTGGCTGTCTCTCTTTCATGGGCCCAGATTTGGTGACAACAAATGATCTGTCAAAAGTCACAGCAACGAGTAGTGACCTCGTACCTGGAGGGCTTGTATGCTACTCTGTGATTCTAATCAACACACATAGTAGCATGCAGAGTCACAGAGTCACATAGGGACTTCTTAAATCACAGATGGTACAAAGCAATGGCTAACAACAACGTCGCCCCACAGACGGTTAACCGCTTGTGTGTCTACTGGGATTAAAATTCATGAACTATTCTTAGCAAATATGATTTTACTTGTGACTTTTTCAATCAGTAGTTGAGAGTTCCTATATCTACCCTCTGTTTCTTGTTGGAGCCCATGATTCACTGTTTTCCCTGCTGGGCCTTTATAACCATCCAGAGCAATGAGACTTTTATCTAATGGATAATTGAAGGCGTTTATAAATCAGTAATTTCAGCGGTAGAGGAGCAAGCACAGAACATGTAACCCAGCCCGCGACAAGTAATGAACAGGCATCTGAGAGGGAGAGAGACATATCTGCAGGGGATACTGTGTTTTGTTGTAACTCCCATGCTTTTAGGAAAGCATACTGCCACTACAAGCGTTTTACTTTTACTAAAATGGTCTTAAAGAGTGAACAGGATAATGCTCTGGCACATGCACCTATGGATGCTGGCTGCCACATTGTCATTTCCTTCTTTCATTAGATGAACATCAGAGGTAAGAGATGAGACAGAAGTACTTTTTGTATTTTATGCCAATTCAGCAACTTTGAATTTAAAGTCAGTAGAACTGACAGAGAGCAGGGTTAAGGTGAGGGGGAATAAGGTATGCTATCTTCTTAGAAAGACCTCCAAGGAAGCTTCTTCACTTCATCGGCTAAATAAAAGAGAGGAAATTGAAAAGGCAGAGAGAGAGATGGAGGGAAGATGCACTGTATGTTTTCATCACGGCAATCAGAGAAACAGGTTCAAGCGAGACATTATGAGTTTTGTGGGGGAAGGAGGGGATGAAAAGGGGAAGGGTGAAAGAGGAAAAAGGAGAGTGGGAGAGAAGTGCTGTATGTGGGGGATGGAAAGGGCAGATGCACCCGTGATGAGGACAGGAGGGTGCCGAGAGGACCCCCTCTACACACACACACACACACACACACACACACACACACACACACACACACACACACACACACACGGACGCACTTCTCTCATTTGAGAGAGCTGTCAGCAAAATGAAGGAGAGGAGACAGAAGTAATGTAATGAGTGCGGTCTCGACACAGCCCTGGCATGTCTCTGCTGCTTCACTGGTCATCACTACATCCCACAGAGAAACATGAGTGTTTGCTTTTATCTGCTGTTGTGCCCCCCCCCCACTCCCCACATCCCACATCCCACATCCCACCTCCGCCTCCTCCACTTGGCTGGTTACCATGACAACAGCGGAGCTCCACCCAGGAAAGAGATGTGTATGCTGGTAGAAAGAGGATTATTGGGGTCAGTGGTCTCTGCGTGTGTGCGTCTCTCTCTCTCTCTCACGCACATGCACACATGTTTTCTCACAGCACATGATTATGCACAGACACATAACAATACAGTAGCTGATTTACTGTAATGTGAATGCAGCCAGACAATTTTTTGTGTTGGTTGTTGTTTATTTAATGTGTGGGTTCCTTCCATTATCCATTTTACGGGTTTGTATTTATGTTGTATTTCACACCTCAGTCGTTGTCGATTAACATGCTGCTGCTCACTCCAACTCACTGAACATATCGTAAAAGTTACTATCAAATTGTTTATTTTAACCAGTAGGAATATTACATGTATAAAAGTTAAATCTTTTTTTTCTTAAAATCTTAAATTTTTCCCATAAAATTAACTACACAATTGAACTGTGGAGAATCTAACCGATCAAACGATGTGTAGCATGTCCTTATTGACAAAAGTTTAAACATATATATTGGTATGACTGATCTAAGCAGCTTAGAACTAGCTCAAGCAGGCGACCATTTAAAAGGTTTT